CTGCTTTTCTTCCTTGGCTCTCTCTTTTTTTCTTTTTCCTTCTGGGTGACCCACTTCCGTAGTTCGGCGCCAGAAAGACCTATCTTCTCACCAAGAGCTACTAACTTTTCAAGATCGATTGTGTCTCGCAAATAAAACCTTGCCGCTTGCAAAAAATATCAGCCTAAATCAGTCTATCGGAACACTCCCCTGCACTCGTTACGAGAACACTGAACAACACACAAAATCGTTCCGATAGCACTATAAACAACTTGAGGCCCTTTCTCACTACTTTGGACACACTGCGCACCAAAAGGTCCTGTCGCGGACGCCAGATTAATTGCCACAGGTCCCGTTAATTAGGGAGGCGATCGCCGGGCTAATTCCAAGGCCGAAGTATCGGCCCCCCGAACTGCACCACGAAAGCGTGGACAATTTAGGTGGTCCTTTTGACGCGCCAGCGGACGCCGGCTGTGGCCCAAAGAACAAGTCAGAGCCGAGAGTTGATAAACAAAACAGAATTATATTCTCACTAATGGCAGATCAAAACAATACATCAGTATGCACACCCACAATAGTCGAGTACAATATGTCACCAATCAAACAACGTACTACACAGTACAATCAGCCACACTCAAAACAACGGACTCAGACAACAATACGCACTACAATGCAGTCGCATGCATTGAACAACCAAGACACTTAAAGACTAAAGAGATAGAAAACCTATTCAGTCCAAAGTTCTTGGAACAAAGGTCTGGATGATACTCTTCCGAGAATCACTCAAAGTCCAGCGTTGTTGTCGTTCTGCTGCCCCCGAAATTTCTTTCCAGGAAACCTCTGTCGTTCCGCTGCCCCGGAAGTTTCTCTTCCAGGAAACCTCACGTCTTCACTTGGCTCCTCTCCAAGCTTCAAACTTCTTCGCCCGAAACACGTCCGCTTCACACCGCAGCTGTTGCCACGCGTCTTCGCTCGATAGCGGTAGACACACGCTCTTGCCTGTAGCTCGAGCCTTCACCCCTCAGATGGAAATCCTCTTCTTCTCTGCTTTGTCCCTACGGACATAACCTTTGCCGACTACACAGCGGAATGCCTACGCGCTCTGGCGCTAACTTCTGTCTTTCCTCACCTCTCATCTCGGCTGCTCCATTAAATACCCTCCGCGCGAGATTCCAGAAAGTTCTCGTTATTTCGTCGGCGCGATACGCAGCGAAGGCTGGGGAGAGGGCGAGACGGTTCGAAGGCCGTCCGGGAAGGATGACGCCACCCGGCATCAACCCGCCCCTTTTCATCTAGAACATTCGAGGGCTAGCTCGGGAGCCGATGAGATGTGGTTCGTCGGCGAGCCCACGCTTCTGAGGGAAGGACGCGTGCCCGGCGAGCCTTTGGATGCTTTTCTTTTTTCTTTCTTTTTTATCGTTGACCTCGCAGCGTCACTCCGGGGTTTCGTCGCGAGAATTTGGCGGCGCGCTTAAATATCGATGTCAGGAGGCGGTGAGAAGAGAGAGAGAGAGAGAGAGAACATATGACAGAATAAAGGATTGCACATGCAGCCCTTGCTATGCTTATTCACATGCAGTGGCGCTGCCAGGGATGGCACATCGGCCCGCCGCCCCCCCACCATTTTTTTTTCTTTAGTATACAGAGCACAACATGACACTGGACCACATATGTTCGAATACCATGCCGCGTCACTAATGCTATGTAGTGAAACTGGGAATGTTGTTGCTTACTAATAAAGCAATCAAACCAAGCCGATCAAGTCCATGCAAGCACGAGAAGCACAGGCTGGCCCACTTGTTTTATAGGTGCCAGTCTCAGTATGAAACAAGGAGAATTTTCACTGAGGGACTCGTTTACATCAACTAACATTATTAAAGATACGTGCACAGAAACATCCAACGAAGTGGATGGGAGGCACCTTTGTCCTAGCTGAATAGAGCCTTTTCAAAACTGTAAAGCCAGCTTTTCTGCAATGCAATTTGCCATCCTAATTCTGGCTAGTCACATTCAGCAAACGCTATGTTCAAGCGCAATTTACTTGCCCTATGGTGTGGCGAAATTCAACGGGCACCTTTGATACAAACACGCATGATATACAAGCCATAGCATGTGCAACTAGGAAATGGTGCTGAAGAACGAGGGGTGCCGCCATTAGTTGGGCAAATATGTAGCACAAGGAAGCGTAGCTGCGGATTATGAAAAAAAGGTCTGTTGGTAGAGAATCGGAAGGAAACCTTGAAGGTGGTCAGCTCATATTAAACTGGCCTAAAGAGTGACTTTTGTCCCCTTTAATTCTCTTAAACTTAATATCTATATGATTAAAGACAACAGTCAACGTCATCTATGCTTTCCCTGGCCTTCAAAGTCAACGTCATCTATGCTTTCCCTGGCCTAAGTGTTCAATTCATTTGCTTGTGTTTAACAAAACACACTTGGTTGTGTTTAACAGACAAGTACCTATGGCAACAACTCTATTGAAAAATATGAAACATGTGAAAGGTTCATCTTTATTTTTACACCTTATGTCACAAAGTAAGAGGCAACATAAGTCAATAGATAAAGAGACATGCACATTGTTGGAACCTTACAATCTTGAGCACTTTGAAAATTCATTCTGTAAGAAAAGGAGCAAAAAAAGCTTCCGAGGGAAAAAGAACTGAACATTGTAGAAATCTGTACAGATCTGAAATTATTGTAAAGGAAAGAAAATCCATATACGTAGTGAGCCTATAACAACACCCATTGTAGAAAAAAAAACGCAACAATAGGGATCTCGGCGTTGTATGTAGGAGGTCGAATACTCGAATGCTCCGGCCTGCAAAATATCAGTCTTGCCTCCTCGTCCCTTCGATTCACAATTTGGCACACGCAGATGAGGATAGCCGTGGAGTGTGTTTTAACAAGCACACCAAAGGCATGGACAGTCGCCGGCGAGGCCGCTATCACGAATAAACTGAGTACCAACAGAAGGGGGGAAAAAAAAAACTAACAAGATGGGACGTGGTTCCACACCCACCTGCTTCTGCGTCAATCGACGTCAATTCATTCATGGTAAAGTACGTCAGGTTGCAACGTGAGCATAGAAAAATACGTAGTGTATAACCACTTCACAACAAAAGAAGCACAGTGGGCAGTGTCCAACATTTCCGTCAAGACACGCTCCTAACTTTACCTGTTAGCCAAGCTTGCAAACTGTGCCGAAGAACAGGCATAACAAAAAATCCCTTCAAGACTCGCGCATTCTCGAGCGTCATGCGTGGATCAATATAAGTACTAATTGCACAAGTGGTTCGTTTGCCACCATTGCGCACATGGCACCAAGGTAACCTGTTCGCTACAATTCGGCGAAGCGGGACGTCACAACAAACAGAACCTGTCAATCAATTTCATCGAAAAGCATTACCAAGTGGCTTCATTTCACATAGACTGCCAACAGTGCTGGAGAACATGTGTGGCAGAGAAGCCGGTGAACAAAGAAACCTTAGAAACATACATGTTTTCCAACACAGTTTGCAGTCTAATTTTTAGTTACTTTATAACTGATTTGTTAGTAGTGTTAACACTGATTATGGGTACTACGTGTTCAGTTACATAACGCACAGTGTCAATTCATATAAGATACGTTTATACATAATAATACTAGTTTCATCTGAAATTACATCACAGATAAAAACCATTGTCAATGTGGGCCTGTGTGCTAAAAGCGCTAGCTTTCAGGTAAACCGCAGCAATCTTTTCATATCCCAAACTGTACATTAAACAATAATGAGGTGAACCTGAAAAAAAAATTTTTCACCTGCTTGCCACTGAGTATGCTTATGAACTTCATCTATTTTATCTCTCCTCTTTAACTAATTTTTGGCATCGAGGTCTGCCAGAATGTTGAAATATATACTCGTGCTTGCTCGCCGTACAATTCCGCACAGTGTTGATTCCTGTTAACCGATAAAGCCATTTATTTGAAATGCCACAGCATATGGAATTTCGACTAAATGCTCTTTGTTCCGATTCCAAATGCACTTATGTGGGTTAGTACCAATTTACTTCCGTTCACTTAATAAGAACTCTTGTCAAACTTTAAAAACATGGGCAATGAATATTTCAAGCAATTCGCTTGTTGACATAATTTCCTCCACAATGTACTTGCCATAATTTAGCTCATTAATCGTGCCTTTGTGTTCAGTAGCAAAACTGACACCTATTCACACTCATTTTGTACTAACATGGCAAGCATATGAGCCAATCAATGTTCCCCATTGCATAAACAAATCACTAGCTACTTCTCCAACAACGATTATGGAGTGATAAATGCTTATTAATATTGAGCTGAGTTTTCTACAACTCACCGAAGAACAGTCCGCTAGCTTGACTCTCGGCTCACGTGCCATTCAGGAAAGGCGTGCGCAGTGTTATCTCAAACTATAAACACGCGCAATCGTGGGCACAAATGTCAAACAATGCCAGATCACACGCAATGCAGAGATTGATTTTCAGTCTGATAAAGCAATGCTTTGCAAGAGTGTAATGTGGGCAAAGTTTACGGTCTGGGAGGTAGAGCTAAACTGGCACGAAATGATGAAGAGACGATGTGAATCAGGTAAGCTTTGCATCTTTGTTTAGTTATTCGTCACTTCAGCGCTACCACTCCCAAGACTGAACATTTAACTACCGATTTTCCAGCTTGTAAAGAAGTTAGACAGTGCCGTTTCAGTTACAGCACTACCCTGACATCATAGACAACGTTCATTTACCGACATTGATGCTAAAAGCACCCACATGCCAATAAAAAATTTATTGGTGACAGAGCTGTAGAACTGCCAGTACGAAAAAAACGCGCACGACTGGAATGAAATGAAAGGAATGAAATAATATAACAATGAATATAAACAGAAAGAATATAACAATGCAAAAGAAAACAAATAAAAAATAACAACAAGGACAACAAGCAAGCAGGGTTGTGGAACCAGATTCCCTCCCGTTACGATGTGACATTCCCCCCCCCCCCCCCTAAAAAAAATGCAAGGCACAACTAACCGTGGCAACCACACACAATTCATTTCACCCCCCACCCCCCGTTTTCCCAAGGCACGATGTGACGACGTCAAGGTCGTCGAGGCTAGTCGGGCACTCTATAAGAGCGCCGTTATTTCTCTTCGTCGTTTCTTTATGTCTTCTTACTCCTCGTGTATAGAGTCTCGTCACGGAACGGAACGCACGCCGCGTTCTGTTGTCTGCGTAGCCACATCACGAATCGAGCCTTTGGCCAATCGCTCCTGATGCTGCACCGCGTGAAGCTCTTCGGCCATCATCCTGGCAACACGACGAAGCACAGTTTCCTAAAATAAAGAAATATATAGGTATAGAGCAACATGCGGTAACACAAGCCATCAACCACCAGTTCACCAACACAAGCTGATATGAGCCGTTCAATCCAACATTAGCAAGTTTGTTATAAAAAAAAGATCGATTATAATAACTCGCTTACGATGGGTTTCTATGCCACAAACATGACGTTTATTTACTCTATTTACAACTACTTCAGAAAGCAGAGCATCTGTGTTCGCTGTCCAAAGGTCTCGGACTTTGGTGATTCAGTTCCCCCGCACAGACCTCTCTAGCTCCGGCTATTTTAGCTGCGCCGCCTAGTCTAGAAACGGTCATTCTGGTTCAGCAAGGGGGAAGTCAGCGGTCCCAGTCACTCAGTCTTTTTTATGGGAATCGCGAAGCGTCGGTCACAGACCCCGCGACGTTCAGGAATGGAGAGATCTTTTAACAAGGCTTTACCACGGTGTACATGAGGTCCATAAGAGCGTGACATATGCAAGAACGCCCTGTTCAGCACAAGGTGCACACTAAAAAAGTACCAAGTGGGCACTCTGTGCAAAAGGTCTATGTCAACCACCTGGTGCTCTCCAACGCACACTCGCATAACACGGAACACGGGCCGCCGACAGTAAGTTGCCACCACCAAAATGCAGCCACCTTATCCAGTACTGGGCCCGCGACTTCCATGTCTGCAGCCGAGAACTGTAACCACTGCACCAACGCGGTGAACCACCAATGCCAGCGGTTTCACACATGACAGGACGGTACGAAAATTTTCCACGCGCTCTCTTCCTACAGGGCCAGCTTGGCACAAGCGTGCCGGTGCAAAACAACCATGCACCAGACGACTATAGATGCGAAGTGCGAAAAAAAAAAAAGAAGAAAAATTACGAAAAAACTTCTTTTTGCGTTTTCTTTCGGCGCAGTTGAAAATATTGGCCAAAATTTTTAAGGGCGAAAAGGTACAGAAATAAAGCTTAGGCATTGAAAGTGACACTAAAACATCGCACATCATACCAACACACCAAATGACGGTGGATCACTCATCAATCAATCAATCGATTCAATCAATCATCAATCAATGAATCAAGAGTCGTAACACTACAAATAACGAAACCAGAGAAACATATGACTGCTATATACACACTTTACCGTATTTACTCGATTCTACCGCGCCCTCAATTGTAACGCAGACCCGGTTTACACGACGAAAAAGAAAAAGTAAGACATCGATTGCAACGCGCACCCATTTTTCTCGTTGGCTTGCACGATCACACCACTCGAAAAAACTACTCCTTTTAGGAGCGTCTTCCATTTAAATATGAGGTACGGGGGAAGCTTGTGCCCATCTGACGTGTAACAGAGCATTGCCGCCACTGTTGTTTTACCGTGGACCAATGTCAGCACGCAAACTTGCTTCGCCCCCTTCTTCTCAACGGTTGTGGTGCCAGGCATGTCGAAGTAAAGAGGCGTCTGACCGGCATTCCTGATTTGCCCAAGCAGGTAGCCGTTGTTGTGCCACAAGCTTAAGACGAACCTCTTAAAACTGTGAAGCTTTTCATCGTAATCCTCCAGAAACTTTTCGCATATGCCCGTTCGCCTTTAAAGGAAAAAGCCTTTCCTCTTCATAAAGTTAGTTAGCCAGCACCTGCTCGCTTTAAAGTGGCTCCACATTAGCCCTTTTGATTGATTGATATGTGGGGTTTAACGTCCCAAAACCACTATATGATTATGAGAGACGCCGTAGTGGAGGGCTCCGGAAATTTAGACCACCTGGGGTTCTTTAACGTGCACCCAAATCTGAGTACACGGGCCTACAACATTTCCGCCTCCATCGGAAATGCAGCCGCCGCAGCCGGGATAACATTAGCCCTTTTTCCAAGGCTAACTGCATAGCCCGCACTTGGAGCAGTTCTGTCGTCACGGGTGGCAGTGCCGCTCGCTGCTCAAGCACATACTCGCAGAGCAGCTCTTCAATTTGCGGAAACCAACCCTGCTGTGGTCCACTGAAGCTTTTGCGTGAAGCTTTGCTGTCGACAATCTTCTGCTTTTGTTTCCGCCAGTTTCGCACGCACGTTTCTGGAACTCCGAACGACCGCGATGCGGCCCGATTTCCGTCCGTTTCTGCACGCGCGATGACTTTTAAAAGCGACATCGTGTGCACTCGAGTTTTTGGAGTCTGCCCTTCCATGCCGTCGATGCTAATGCACTACAAGATGACGAACTCCTCAGCACACGTACGAAGTGCCCCACATAGGAAATACATAGGCAAAAATGGCCGACGAGCTATGCTGACGCACGTAGCAGGCGGCCATTTTGGAAATTCCGATGGCAATAGAATGACCGTATTCATTTTTTTTTCGTACTCGATTCTAACGTGCATGCGATTTATGAACTCGCTTAACCGGAAAAAAAGTGCGCGTTAGATTCGAATAATTACGGTATCAATCTTGAGGACAGGATAGAAGGTAAGCTTTGATATATTTTTCGAAAGATCTCAGAGACAAAGATTTCTGAGCGATTTCTATACCATGTGAATGTTTATTGAGAAGACTGGGAATTAAATATGTAAGCGCTTGCGTTCAACACGCGCTTCGGACAAGTTGAATTCTATAATGGTCGTATCTTAATTCATAAGGCACATCGCTACTAGATTGCAGATCGCTACTAGATCATCGACATCACATGAAGTCGGCTCCTCCAGCATCAGCTTAGCTTAGTCTATAGTTGCGTAGCTTCATTGATCGGGTGTGATCTGATGTGGTCATGTTGCGGGGGGGGGGGGGGGGGGGAATGTTTTGGTATTTGTTATTGTTCAGTTTTGACTTTCCCTCATACATTGCTGCTACCTGTGGGGGAAGTCTGCTTAAAAATCAGTGTGCAAGCAGTTTCTGCAATGCTTTGGGCCACACAGAAAGAAGTATTTGAGGAGGAGAAACTCCCAGGACGTGCCAGCAGGCGAGGGCAACGAGACAGCATCACGGAGGGATGTGGTTTGCGGCAACGCTCAGCAGGTGACGCTTTTGACGAGTTGCCATCTTTTACACGCGCTTCTACGAACGCTACACATAAAAATCATAATAGCGCCTCACGCACAGCAAAATTTTCCCCATTTTTGTGTGTAACATGAATGACTAGATGCAACAGATATTTCAGCATCAGTTACTAATTGATAGATACTGCTAGAATTACGAGCCGCAAAGCCATCAAAACGAGCTGCTAGTAATGGCTCAGGAGTAGACAACGTACGCAGCATGTTTCTTGCTCCTCGCTCGCATGTCGTGGGTGCGCATGCGCGGGTTACATCGGGAGAAAAAGTTCCCCACAGGCGGCCGCAAATCCCTTCGCAATATGCAGGCTTTCTGTTTCATTAATGCTCTCCCTTCCTCTGTGGTGCTCTCGGTACATTCAGTGCGTTGTGCCAGCTGTGCCGACTGATTGCGCGCCCTTTTCACGTCGCGACAAGGGAGAACGCTTTGCAGAATTCGAGCAAGATGCTTCTTCAGGATGAGGCGGAAACATGGTCTGCCAAAATGCAACAGCAATTACACATCCTGCAAGGAGAATGTAGTTAGTGACCCAATGAAATTGGAAGCTGAAGCCTCGTGACTGCCTCGTGGAAGCTGAAGCCTCGTGAAATTGGAAGCTGAAGCCAGCTGAAGCCTCGTGACTACGTTTGTGGAAAGCACTTCTCGGATGGCGACTCTGCCCAGCCACTTTACATGACACTGCATGACATTCATGGTTCTTTTTTTCAAAGTAGCTTCCAGCAGTGTTGTAGCTCTGAAGTCGAACAGCTGCGTGCAATGAAGAATGTGTGGATGCGATTCCTACCTAAAACATGCCTAGAACCGCAAACATTTGCATCTTTCTTAATTTCACAGTCATGGAGAACGCCGATTTTCCCTTCCCTACTAACGACGCTGATGTCAGCCTTCCTGAGAAACGAGCTTTTATGTTGTCGCGTTAAAATTTGGAGCCGGATAGAAACACCCAGTCGGACGTGAAGCACGAACGGCAAATCGGAGCTCAGTGGCCTTGAATGAGAGTGCGATGAGAGTGCGATGAGAGCGGCGTGCGTTAGCGGAGTTTCAGGACAGAGGCTCATAAGTGCTGTGCCCTATTTCGTGACTTTTTCAGGGCGCTTGAGCGAGCGCAGTTTCGCCTGCTCGAAAATTCTTGCTCCGTGGCTTGGGCTAATTCAAGAAGTGTGGATGTACTTCACGGTCAAGGAGACCGGTGGCGGGAAACAGGTCTGTAAGCACTAGCACAGCAGCTGCGCTTTTCCAAGTGCATCTTGAGATGATGAAAGCTACAGATGAATGATGATGATGTTTGATGTTTTGTGGCGCAAGGGCCATTTCACGGCCAAAGAGCGCCAGTTCATCTTATTAAAATATGGACAATGATTGTGATAAGCGGCTGTATAAGGGCCATAAAATTCCTCGCGGTAAGGCGGGTAAGAACATACAAGTAATAAAATCATGACCATGCCGTGAAAGGTGTGTGTGGTGTGAATAGATGACAAAAGTTGGTGATAATAAAAGACGATGGTGGATATGTATGGCATTAGCACAAGTGCCTCACTCGTTCATACCCTTGCGTCCAAGGGCCGTGAGGCAAAAATGCTTTCTTGTGCAGCCACCGCAGCAAAAACCTCTCTGGAGAGGTCGTGCTACGGAATGCCTGGATATATGATATGAAAACTATGAATTTCTTTTAAAAACGCTAACAATGATTTATGACTAAAAGGCGGTTCCCTACCGACGAACATTGCAGGGTGTAAAGGTATATGCTATCGATAGGGTAATGGAAAATGTTGTTTTCTTAGAGTTTCTAAGTGTTTGCACTAGATTAACATGTGAAGGACTGTTAATGCTTCACCACATCTGTCACACAATGGTGGACCATCACCAGACAAAAGATAAGTGTGTGTCGCATATGTGTGTCCTATCCTGAGTCTCGTTAGTATTATATCTGTATGACGCGATTTCGATACGGGCAGCCAATG